AAAATTGTAGCAAATTTACCGAAAACGTCCGAAAGCTGCAATTTGGATCAACAATATTTCAGAGCTTTCTCTATCTAATGTCACCATCATCTTTTCTGTATGTGTGTTATATTTCGAACAATAAATTTTTAAAAATTCAGCGACTGTTGCGAAAGTGAATTGTTAGAAAAAAACACGAAAAATTGGCGAAAGCTACGGAAAAGTTGTAGATTTCCACATTTGTCAACCAACGATTTCTGTATTAAATCGCGAGAAAATTAACCTTCTCTACATTCCCAATTTCAAAAGAAAATTTTTTGAAAAAATGCGACGCTCAGTCGAGGGGTTGGCCATAGTGGCTAACTCAAACCCACGTTAGAAAAATTGTTGCAAATTTCCCGACAACGTCCGAAAGCTGCAATTTGAACCAACAATATTTCAGAGCTTTCTCTATCTAATGTCACCATCATCTTTTCTGTATGTGTGTTATATTTCGAGCAATGATTTTTTGAAAATTCCGCGACAGCTGCCAAAATCAATTGTTAGAAAAAAACGCGAAAAATTGGTGAAAGCTACGGAAAAGTTGTAGATTTCCACATTTGTCAACCAACGATTTCGGTATTAAATCGCGAGATAATTAACCTTCTCTACATTCCCAATTTCAAAAAAAAATTTTTTGACAAAATGCAACGCTCAGTCGAGGGGTTGGCCATAGTGTCTAACTCGAACCCGCGTTAGAAAAATTGTTGCAAATTTCCCGAAAACGTCCGAAAGCTGCAATTTGGAACAACAACATTTCAGAGCTTTCTCTATCTAATGTCACCATCATCTTTGTTTTATCTGTGTTATATTTCGAGCAATGATTTTTTAAAAATTCCGCGACAGCTGCCAAAATCAATTGTTAGAAAAAAACGCGAAAAATTGGTGAAAGCTACAGAAAAGTTGTAGATTTCCACATTTGTCAACCAACAATTTCTGTATTAAATCGCGAGAAAATTAACCTTCTCTACATTCCCAATTTCAATAGAAAATTTTTTGAAAAAATGCGACGCTCAGTCGCGGGGTTGGCCATAGTGGCTAACTCAAACCCGCGATAGAAAAATTGTTGCAAATTTCCCGAAAACGTCCGAAAGCTGCAATTTGGACCAACAATATTTCAGAGCTTTCTCTATCTAATGTCACCATCATCTTTGTTGTATSTGTGTTATATTTCGAGCAATGATTTTTYAAAAATTCCSCGACAGCTGCCAAAATCAATTGTTAGAAAAAAACGCGAAAAATTGGTGAAAGCTACGGAAAAGTTGTAGACTTCCATATTTGTCAACCAACGATTTCTGTATTAAATCGCGAGAAAATTAACCTTCTCTACATTCCCAATTTCAAACGAAATTTTTTGAAAAAATGCGACGCTCAGTCGAGGGGTTGGCCATAGTGGCTAACTCAAACCCGCGTTAGAAAAATTGTTGCAAATTTCCCGAAAACGTCCGAAAGCTGCAATTTGAACCAACAATATTTCAGAGCTTCCTCTATTTAATGTTACCATCATCTTTGCTGTATCTGTGTTATATTTCGAGCAATGATTTTTTGAAAATTCCGCGACAGCTGCCAAAATCAATTGTTAGAAAAAAACGCGAAAAATTGGTGAAAGCTACAGAAAAGTTGCAGACTTCCACATTTGTCAACCAACGATTTCTCTTTTAAATCGCGAGAAAATTAACCTTCTCTACATTCCCAATTTCAAAAGAGAAAGTTTTGAAAAAATCCGACGCTCAGTCGAGGGGTTGGACATAGTGGCTAACTCAAACCCGCGTTAGAAAAATTGTTGCAAATTTCCCGAAAACGTCCGAAAGCTGCAATTTGAACCAACAATATTTCAGAGCTTTCTCTATCTAATGTCACCATCATCTTTGTTGTATCTGTGTTATATTTCGAGCAATGATTTTTTAAAAATTCCCCGACAGTTGCGAAAATCAATTTTTAGAAAAAAACGCAAAAAATTGGTGAAAGCTACGGAAAAGTTGTAGACTTCCATATTTGTCAACCAACGATTTCTCTATTAAATCGCGAGAAAATTAACCTTCTCTACATTCCCAATTTCAAAAGAGAAAGTTTTGAAAAAATGCGACGCTCAATCGAGGGATTGGCCATAGTGTCTAACTCAAACCCGCGTTAGAAAAATTGTTGCAAATTTCCCGAAAACGTCCGAAAGCTGCAATTTGAACCAACAATATTTCAGAGCTTTCTCTATCTAATGTCACCATCATCGTTTCTGTATGTGTGTTATATTTCGAGCAATAATTTTTTGAAAATTCCGCGACAGCTGCCAAAATCAATTGTTAGAAAAAAACGCGAAAAATTGGTGAAAGCTACGGAAAAGTTGTAGACTTCCACATTTGTCAACCAACGATTTCTCTATTAAATCGCGAGAAAATTAACCTTCTCTACATTCCCAATTTCAAAAGAAAAATTTTTTGAAAAAATGCGACGCTCAGTCGAGGGGTTGGCCATAGTGGCTAACTCAAACCCGCGTTAGAAAAATTTTTGCAAATTTCCCGAAAACGTCCGAAAGCTGCAATTTGGACCCACAATATTTCAGAGCTTTCTCTATCTAATGTCACCATCATCTTTGTTGTATCTCTGTTATATTTCGAGCAATGATTTTTAAAAAATTCCCCGACAGTTGCGAAAATGAATTGTGTTAGAAAAAAACGCGAAAAATTGGCGAAAGCTACGGAACAGTTGTAGACTTCCACATTTGTCAACCAATGAGTTCTGTTTAAAATCGCGAGAAAATTAAATTTGTCTCCATTTCCCCTTGAGCTAACGAATTTTCGAAAAAATGCGACGCTCACTCGAAGGGTTGCCTATAGCGAATATCTAAATCCCGCGTTCGACAAATAGTAGCAAATTTCCCGAAAACGTGCCAAACTTGCAATTTTATTCACAAATATTGCAGAGCCTTGTATATATATCTAAGGCAGCCATCATCTTTTCTCCATCTGTTTTAAATTTTGAGTAATATTTTTTTTAAATGCGGCGACACTAATCAGAAACAAATTTTGTTAAAAAACAGCAAAAATTCTTCCACTTCCACACTTATCAACCAACGAGTTGTCGCAATAAACCAACTCTTTCACACGTTTTTCCCAAGTTAGGCCCTACCCTGATTCGTCTGGAAATCCTTCCCATTTGAGCAAGTTAAGTTTTCTCCTCATGGCCTTTTCCTTTTCCCGTTTTTCCATTTTGGCTTTCTGGTCGCGATGCCATTGGCCCGACAGCAAGTATTCAACATCTATAATGCCCGGCACTAGAACCTCCTTCTTCTGCTGCACCAACTGCTGCTTCCTCTCGTCTTCTTCGAGCTCTTTGCGCGATTTTTTCGGCGGGTATTGCAGTTTTCCTGCAAAATCCCCCTGTTATCCGCGCATTACCTACACAAATTCAACCGTTATACCATCGGCTCCTAAAGGGCTGGGCCGATCTTTTCTCTTCTTCGTCGGCAGATCTTGAATGCGAAGATTTTGAGCTTGCGGAGTAAACGCTGATCCTAAATCAATCCAATCAGGTTTTTGCTCCAGATTTCTGGAGAATACTGCTTTAGAAGCTCACCTATGGTTTCAGACGGTCGCCAGTAGACTTGCGTGTCTTTTTCTGGGACTCCCTGCGTCCAGGATTTTTTGGCAAACAACGCTGGATATTCGACACTATTCGTAATACTCGCTATGTCCAGGGGACTTTGTATGTCCTGATCCGCTACCGGGATCCATGGAGGAACGGGAACAATGCGCCGTCCGTATTTGTCCATTTTTCTCACTCACTACCTACTTTTTACGAATTCATTGTTTCAGCGATTTTAGGGGTTTTGTCAATTTGACGATGCGACAGTGAAAGCGGGACGTTGCAGTAACAGCAGGAAAAGGTATGGATTTATTAAAGGGTGATTTAAACGGGTTTCCATGGAGTTCGGGCAGGAAAGTTTGTTTGAGAGTTGACTAGTTTCATGCATCTTGCACATTGATTTTTCATGAGTAGTTGTTTTTACACGCACAATGAACGTTTTTTTATTGCCTTTTGTTGTATATACTTTCCCGACTGTGTTTCAATTCCAAATCAAAATTTATTCCTGGGTTTCAGTCATTTATTTTTCAGTTTTGGTGTATTTTTCCACCATCATCAGTTTTTCTAAAATAACAGATAGTTAAAAAAAATTGTCATTAATTTAAAAAACAACCACAGTTCGTCAACGGCCTCATCATATCACACATTAAAATACATCACAATTGCAATACTTTAAAACATTCTGAAATTAATTAGGCCTAACAGGTGATTAGTCAGGACAATCAAATTTGGGAAGACTAGAATTCTTCGTTCAGATAGTTAAATATTTTTACTTATAAGTGTAGCGTTGTTGCTGCTTTAAGCCTTGGCATACATTTGGAGTATTAATTTTGTCCATTTTGGACACAAAGCGAATAAAATACTGTTTATATTGATTTCTGTTACTTTCAGCTATTTTTCTTTGCATTCTGAGGATATTATTTTTGATTTGCAAAATTCTTCAATATACCGGGTGTTACTTAATATTCTATGTTTATTTCATTTAATTAATGTATGATATACTGAGCTAAGATTGTCGGTATCCAATCTGAAATTCATAGCATTGTTATGTTTTTTAATCTGTGTCATTTCATGGACTCTTCTCTTATTATAATTACTCTCGCTAATCAGCATTTTTGTGTTATCAAAATGAAAATTGTGCAACTTCTGTTGTGCATGCTGTGCTAATGCTGTATCATTTTCGTTATTTTTTCTTAGGCTATACATAAGTATATAGCCATACGAACATAAGTTCGTATATTCTTTTCTTTAGATATTGTCCTGTTTGACCTATGAATGTGTTATCACAATTCAAACAGTCTATTTTGTAAATTACATTAGGCGTGTCTAATTTGTCAATCCTATGTTTAAATTTTGTGAAACGTGCATTTCCTAAGGTGATTTTAGTTTTAGATTCTTTTTTTTTATTATTAAGAATTGTTTTTTAGATGAATAAAGACAATAAATGACTGAAACTGCATTGCAAAAATGCAACCAGACCAAGAATCTTTAAAAAAACTGTAGGTACTCACCTGTTACTGGGAAATCAAAGCAATCAAACACATTGTTTCATATTCAAGTTGTTTTATATTCAATAAACCATTTCGCTCGACTACCTACTACTATCACAGTGCATACAAACTTGTATTTTGTACCAATACAACAATCATTTCCTGGAGTACTTAAAGCTATATCACAGATAACTTAGCGTTAATTAAAGCTTCAAACAGCGCATTCAATGGAAATACTGAGACCCAAAACGAATCATAAATTGCAAACGGAAACTTAATAGAGAAAGAAACTGAGCTCGATTCACCACGGCCTCCAAACCTTATCAGTGTCTGTGACGTTGATGGGTGAGGGTGAGCCTCTGGAAGAAGGCGGACTCATTGGCAGGTTGTAGGCTTCATCGCTTGAGTCGCTTGAGGGGCCCACTCTTACCATTAAAGGCTCTGGATGAGTCGCTGCGAAGCTGTCCAGCTCATTGAGTTGATGTCCCAAGTAGGTCATGAGCTTGGTGCCCAAATGAATGTTCACTCCGGGAGTGGAAGCCAGAACTCTGGAGACTTCTTTGGCGCAGTTGGTGAAGCCGGCTCGGAACCGATCGGTGTCCACGCTGGGAGTGGAGAAGAGGCTTTTCTGGCGCTTGAGCTTCTGAAGATGCGCCACGGTGATCTCCAAGATGTCGGCTTTCTCCAGCTTGGTGACGTTCTCCTCGTCCATGGCCAAGGCGGAGATCATCAGCTCCTTGAGCTCGTCCAGGCACCGGTTGATGCGAGCCCGACGTTTCCTTTCCAGCAAAGGCTTCATCACCTTGCGGTACTGCATGGTCTTGGACATCGGCTTGCTGTCCAGGGACTGTTGAAGATTGCGATGCTGCACCACTGATGCATACTCGTAAACACCCACACTGGACATGATTAGAGCGCACGTAAAACTCGACACTGATTGACGAAATAAAAGAAAACTAAACACTTAACGGGTCGTACGTTCAAGTCGACTGTTCGAGTTGGAATGAAGCATCCGCCATAGGCGATGTGGGTTTTATAGTGAGGCAGAAAAGCCAGGTGCACATTGCAGGAACGCAAACTGTGGGAACTTTGGGTTCGATCTCTCGACTCGCCATGAATCTTAAGCCGGGTGAGTGCAACTTGAATGTGTGACGTCAGCGCCAGTAGGGGTGCAAACAATCTGCGTGCTCGGAACGTGGGAACGCGTGTAGAGCACGCGAGGGTTGATTTTCATCAGCATGGGCTCAATGGAATTTTTTCACAATGCACGCCATCCTTGGCGGGAGCGATTTTCCATTTTCTACCCTTGCCAGTCGGTATCAGCGCATTTTTACTCCTACAATGCTCATTTTCATTTACGTTGCATTTGAGTGTTTCAATCTCAATTGAGTTCAAATAACAACTCATTGCAAGCTGAAGCGGAATGTAAATGAAACCTTTTATTTTGCCTCGAAATATTGGGACTCAAAACGTTAATTTTGAGATACGAGAATACGTACAAACAACAGAACAAATTGCACTAAGACTAATAACACGAATAAGACACCCCCAAAACCCACTGCACAACCCCTCCAACCAACTACTGTACGAACGCACAAACATGACAAAAATCGCGGAAAGACTAAAACACTTGCAGACAAAATGGACAAACAACCCCCACAACTGGACCATACTGGATCCCCTTTGCCTCACAAGACCGACAAAACACTCCCGTTTTCGTTCCCCAACAGATACTTTACTGGAACACCTACAAACGCAACTGAACTAAGGACTGAGATATGTGTGTTTTGTGAGCCAGGAATTTTCATTTTTCATTTTTTTATAGCTGTCTAATTTATACGAGTGTTAGGGATAGAAATTAATTTTAGAATAGCTAGGCTAAGACATATGTACTAAACAAGGGCAGAAAGACCGATTGGGTCGATAGCCTTTTTCCGTAGGAAACAAAGATTACTTATATATATATAAAAGTAAGTAAATTTGCTCTCCAACAACCCCAAAGCTGGAGGCCAATAAAAGGTTTCACCCACCTTTTCTGGTCAGAGTGAGATTTTTTCTACCAACTGCGGATTTTGAGGCAAAAACCTCTAGCAATCGGGTTCACGTTTTTTGTAAAACTGAGACGATTTTCGCTTTTCTGCTCAAAAATACTGAGAACAATTTCTACCTAATTCAAATTGTTCAAAGATTCTCTCTTTTACACAGTCTTAAATATGGACGCACAAGAAAAGTTTCCCTTTTTTCTTTTAGACTGAGAACCTTAGAATTTCAAGGTTTGTCGCTTTTCTTATTCAAACAGAATTAATTCACGTTTGACTTAAGACTGAAACGATTTTTTTCTGATCATCCAGAATTTTGAGGCA